TGAAGACCGATATCATGCTGTTGACCGATGTCTTCGAGAAGTTTTGATCTAGCTGCCACAATACCTATGGTCTTGATCCTGCACACTATTACACCCTACCAGGATTCAAGTGGGATGCCATGCTAAAACATACTAAGCAGGAGTTGGAGTTGCTTACCGATCCTGACATGTTCCTTTTCGTTGAACGAGGAATTCGTGGAGGTCTTAGTCAAATATGTTCAAAACGAAAAGCCAAAGCAAACAATAAATACATGCCTTCGTATGATCCAGCAAAGCCCTATTCATATCTGATGTATTATGACGTGAACAATCAATATGGGTGGGCTATGTCTCAGGCATTGCCATATGGAGGGTTTGAATGGGCCGACACTAATCTTGATGTTACAACCATTGCTGATGATGCTTCAGAAGGATACATATTGAAGGTTGACCTAGAATACCCACAACACCTCCATGATTTCCACAAAGATATACCATTCTGTCCCGAACACATCAACCCGGAAACTGTGAAACCTCCGACAAGATCTTCCCAAACCACCAAGCTGATGGCAACGCTGAACCATAAAACACGCTACGTCATTCACTACCGAGCCCCCACACAAGCGCTGGAGCATGGGTTGGTCCTGACCAAAATTCATCGCGTCCTCAAGTTCCGGCAATCTACATGGCTCAAATCCTATATAGGGTGTCTCACTAAGGTCGGCGAGGTACGATATCATGGAAACCATAAGCCTCAGGACTTCGAGGAAAAAAAATTGAGGACTGAATCGGCCAAGAAAAATTGATAGAAAATATTTTCAAGTTCATAAAATGACCGTTAGGGGGCGCAATCTTTATGATAAAACTAAAAATTCATTTTTTTTAAACCACTATATCAAGGTTCTGTTCCAATGACGGAAATGCAGAGTTCATTGAATATCGCGTCAGTTTGTTCTCGGACTCTTTTCCATACCTTGAAAAATAAAGGTGGGGGAAGCTGGTGAAAAAATCATTTTTGAAAACGTTTTATCTCCGATATCCTTTCTCCGAATTTGATCAACTTGGGCTCATTTGGAAGAGAATTTCACACCAATTTGAACAATGAATTTGACATTGATTTCTAGTTCTGTTTTTTCGATTTTTTCTGAAAAAAATCAAATGGAATGCTACATATTTTGATCAACAGATTCAAAATGCATTGAATTAGCTGCATTTTAGCGAAAACCGTGATTCGTTATCTTTATCCGTTTTCGAGTTATTCTCAAATAACACAATTTTATTTTAAAAACATCATGTTCAATAATTTTGAACGAAGCAACTTCATCATATTCACCTGCACTATTGATTAAAATGCTCATTTTTCGAATTTTCAGCCTTTCATTGCGTGTGTTGATCTAATATTCTCGTTCCATGTGCAAAATAATAATAACCGATGCAATTACCATCTCTCCACTAAATGAACAAAAATACGAATCCTAATAGTCAACAACCAAACTGCGATAACGAAAAATAACTTTTATTTATAAAATTCTACAAGTATGACAACTTCACAATGAACGAATAAAAGGATATCAAATACCGACACATTCTGAAGCCATCTTCATTCAGCGATATCCAGCAATGAAAACACATTATAGGAAAGTAACAAGAAACAAGAAAAGGTCCCTTTGAGTGTTCAAAATGCATTCCATTATTCTCAATGCAAGAATTCAATCTGCGTTGCGTGCTTGACACAGCTGTTTCCACTTCAGCTCCCGAAATGCTGACAACAGCATCTCTAATACGTTGCTTCATGTTATCAGCAGTGGTAGGACGAGTTTGAAAAACGATATCTTTCAACTTGCCCCAAAAATGAGAATCTAGCACAGTGAGATCTGGGGTAGATCCCAGGCGGCCATTGAAACAAACTTCTTCGTCCGATCCACCGATTCGGATATCTTTGGTCCGAAAACTCACGAACTATCCGAGAAAAGTGTGCAGGACATCCATCCTGCTGAAACCACATGCCTCTTCGTATCAATAATGGAACCTCTTCTAGTAAAAGCGTCAATTGGTTCCTCAAGAAGTGCAAGTAAATATTCCCATTCAAATGTTCATCGAAAAAGAAAGGCCCAATAATCCGACCGTCTAAAATGCCACACCACACATTAACACTCCATCAAATTTGATGGTCAACTTCACGCATCCAATGGGGATTATCAGTGGAACAGTAATGCATGTTGTGCAAATTGACTCCTGCATCACTGGAAAAAGTTGCTTAATCAGTCCATAATACTCGAGACAAAAAATTCGGTTCTTCGCCAACTATTGTTCTCAGCCAATAGCAGTAATTCAACCTATGTTCGAAATCAGTTTCCGATAGGGCCTGATGTAATTCCACATGATATGGATGAAGGTCATGATCCTTTAAAATTCTGTGTACTGACTATTTACTCATGCCCAAGTCAGAGGCAATTTTCCTTGTACTCAAAAGAGGATTCACGGGAACATAGGCAAGTACATCAATAATGTTATTTTTACTCCTGATGTTCCGATTTCTTCTTGGTGCTGAAATAGGATGAACATGTCCTGTATCACGCAGTCGTATCGCTAGTTTGGAAAATACTGTCCTACTGAAATGTCTTCTATCCGGATAGTTAGCTGCGTATACTCGTTCTGCCATTGACACATTTTCAAAACATCGGAAATAAACCGCCAACATGTCATAGGCTTCCTTCCCATCCTATTTCAAATCAAGATTCTAATAAGAATGTTCCAAAAACTCCATGTTGTGGTCTCATGCATTTTTCGAAAGATTGTTCCTTCAAGAATCATAAATGCCGAGATTGTCACAGAATCGGACACAAAGAAGGGTATTGCAATGTGAGGAAAGCAAAGAAAAACGATTCTTTCAAGACAAATATGAGCCAGGTTATTCAGTTAACTGAGCGTAGGTACCTCAAAGTCCAAATCAATGATATACCGGTCAATTTGCAAGTGGACACTGCTTCAGACATCACTATCATTTCCGAAGACACATGGAACAGACTGGGACAACCTGAATAACAAAAAACTGAAAGTATTGCCAAAAATGCTTCTGGAGGAGATTTGGAATTGATGTCAGAATTATATTGTACTATGAGATTTGCCAATCAATCTCATCATGGCAAGTGTTTCATAACCAGGATTCACAATTTAGATTTACTGGGCATAGACTGGATAAACAAATTTGGTTTATGGGATATACCACTCAGTTCTATCTGCAATGACAACAGTTCAGTCAATAATTTGTCAGTGTCAGAAGAAAATCAGTTTGTCAATGATGTTTCACGTGAAAGATGCCTGACTTTTCCTCACATACTGAAAGTTCAAGATATTGAAAAACAATTTCCGAATGTTTTCAGCGATTCTTTGGGATTTTGTACTAAATATCAAGTGAAACTAAATGTTATCCATGGAGTGGGACCAGTATTTCGTCCGAAACGTCCAGTGGCATATGCAACTATGCATTCAGTTGAAGAAGAATTAGAGCGACTTCATAGATTGAATATCATTTCACCAGTGGAATTTTCTGAATGGGCTGCACCAATTGTTGTTACAAAGAAATCCAATGGAAATATTAGAATATGCGGTGATTATTCTACAGGACTCAATGATGCTCTACAGCCACATCAGTATCCACTCCCAATTCCGAATGTTTTCAGCGATTCTTTGGGATTTTGTACTAAATATCAAGTGAAACTAAATGTTATCCATGGAGTGGGACCAGTATTTCGTCCGAAACGTCCAGTGGCATATGCAACTATGCATTCAGTTGAAGAAGAATTAGAGCGACTTCATAGATTGAATATCATTTCACCAGTGGAATTTTCTGAATGGGCTGCACCAATTGTTGTTACAAAGAAATCCAATGGAAATATTAGAATATGCGGTGATTATTCTACAGGACTCAATGATGCTCTACAGCCACATCAGTATCCACTCCCAATTCCAGAAGACATATTTGCTAAACTGAATAATAGCAAAACATTCAGTGTTATTGATTTGTCGGATGCATTTCTACAGGTGGATGTTCATGAAGACTCCAGAAAGTACTTGACAATCAACACACATCGTGGATTATTCTCCTACAATCGATTACCTTTCGGAATCAAGATCGCACCCGGCGTTTTTCAGCAAATAATGGACACGATGATTGCAGGATTGGAAGGAACTGCCGCCTACATTGACGACATCATTGTTTGTGGTAAAACAAAAGTTGAACATCAAAATAACCTGATGAATGTACTTCGACGCATCAACGAATTTGGTTTCCATCTACGCATTCAAAAGTGTAGATTCAATGTTGATGAAATCAAATATTTGGAAAACATCATCAATAAGGACGGATTGCAACCAGATCCCGCCAAAATAGAAGCCATTATTCGTATGCCACGACCGAACAACATAACGACATTGCGTTCTTACCTGGGAGCCATAAATTATTATGGTAAATTCATCGAAAACATTCATGACTTACGACATCTATTCGATAATTTGTTGAAGAAGGATTGCCAATGGGAATGGACCAAAGAATGTCAGAATTCATTCGATAAATTCAAGGATGTTCTTCAATCAGATCTCCTGCTCACCCACTACAATCCACTTTTGAAGATTGTCGTAGCTGCTGATGCATCTAGTATTGGTATCGGTGCATGTATCTATCATGAATTTGAAGATGGTTCAAGAAAGGCAGTGTATCATATCTCGAGGAAATTGACTGATACCGAACAGAAGTATAGTCAAAACTATCAGTCTTGATGTCATGGGACCTTATTCGGTAACCCAAAACGAAAACAAATATCTGATTGTAGCCACGGATATAGGATCTGAATGGATAGAAATTGCTGCTACATCTGATTCAACTGCATAAACACAAACTTCATTTCTACAGAGTGTTTTTGGACGTTGGGGCTTCCCCGAATCGGTCATTACAGATAACGGTCCACAATTCCGCAGTATCAACTGGCAAGACTTTTTGAGAAAGTTACACATTCATCATTTCACCACCCCAATATTTCATCATTCATCCATTTGGTCTTGTACTCTCCCCCAAACACCTTTGCTAGGATTCTAGGGTATTTCTTTGACATGAACGATATCAGTTTGTTTACAATGTTTTCCAATTCTTTTATCTGGTTTCTATTGTTTATGGTGTTTGATATCTCTTGCATTTGGGTAGTTTTTACTCCATCTATGACCTCGTTCAGGGACTGTATGGATGCTGATCTTTCCCATATCTCTGTTTCTTTTGCCCTCCCACCTGGCGTTGATGGGCTTCCAGGAGATAATGTTATCCTTTTTCCCTCTTCATTGATTGTGTCTATAGGGTCCAGCAACGTTATTTTGATATTCCTCAATGTACCTCTTAGGGATGTTGCTTCAATGGGAACTGCTACCTCCTTTTCTTTCAATTTGAGAAGGCATTTGATGTTTGATTTGGAAGAGCTGTAGCATTTTACTTCTACTCTCTTCATCTCTGGCTTTGGCATCACATCTGTCGGGGAATAGTAGCGGACAGAGTCATCAAACTTCATTCCAGCTTCATAAAACTTTTCATTAAATACTATTGTCTTCCCATCTGGCACAACCACACTTCATTTGGAGCTCCCCACGTCCGTTATTATGGGCTTTGCCCTTATTGTTTTGGCTATGCAAGCCCATCTTGAAGTACAGCTGTGCCTTGCTAGTCCTGCTGTCTCGAAGTATCTGTCTCCCATTCTTTCTGGTCCTTTGTAGGTCTCCATTCTAATATCCAGACAACAATCTGAGCTAGATCCAGTACAGACAGTGGCAGAGCACTCGCATCCAGTCTTGCATGATTTGTTTTCTACATATTCCCTTGCAGTGGTTTTGCTTATAGGAACCTCTAAATCATTTTTTATGCAGCCTGTATTTGGGTCTAGTATTGTCCCTTGGTAACAATATGCTGTGAATCTCCTCCTGTAAGTGTATATGATGTCCTCCTCTTCTTTCCATATCTCCATCATGGCATTTGTTTTCTTTATGGTGATTTCATTCAGAACTGCTTCTCTCTCCAATATCCTGGTTTCTTTCTCACAGCGTGACATATCGCATTGCCCGGTTGTTGTCTGTGATTCTGCCCCAATTGAGATTATTATCAGGGCCATTATCCATACGTTCTCTTTAATGATAAAAAGCATTGTGTCTGATTTTTGAAATCTATGTTCAAACCATATTGGATGATTATTCACATTTTACTGTGATAAAGTTACTGAAGACCAAAGGTGAAGCAGGTGAAAATTTGAAAGAATATGTGATGGAAGTAGAAAGACAATATGAAGTTAAAGTGAAGGCTTTCAGATTGGACAATGGAGGAGAATTTGTTTCACAAATGTTCAAAAACTTCTGCAAACAGAAAGGTATATTATTGGAATACACATTGCCACATACTCCACAATATAATGGCAAGGCAGAGAGGTTAAACCGAACCTTGTTGAACAAAGTAAGGACAAAAATTATAGACTCTGGGACACCTAAAGAATTGTGGGGTGAAGCTCTTAAATGTTCAGTTTATGAATTGAACCGTACACCCACCTCAGCTCTACCAAAAGGAGAAACCCCTTCCTCACTAAGGCATGGCAGAAATGATTTGAGCAAACTAAGAATTTTTGGATGCCGAGCATGGTATACCATCCTACCAAAAGGTGGTAACAAATTAGATCCCAAAGCAGAAAAATCCGTCATGATAGGATATACAGGAGGTGGATGGAGGATATGGTCACCAAAAGAACAAAAAGTTGTCAGGTCCAGAGATGTTCGATTTGATGAATCAATAATGGAATTTAAAGTACCAAAACAAGAAAATGTGATCATGGAACCACAAAAAATCGAAACTGAAACGTTTTCAGAAGAAATTGAAGATCAAAAGGTGACTATGGATCGAAATGATACAGAAGAACCAAATATACAGAATGAATTAGAAGGTCCTGTAGACCCAATGGAAGCAGTGACAACCAGATCAGGAAGAACAGTGAACAAACCAACAAATTTCAACGATTATGAAATGTATGTTGCTTTTTGTTTTCTATCCTCAACCAAAGAAGAACCACAAACATTCAAAGAAGCTTTTGAGAATGAAGATTGGAGGAAAGCAATAAATAAAGAGCTGAAATCACACGAAAACCTCCAAACGTGGATTCCTACAGACTTACCCATGAATACAAAAGCTATAGAGACAAGGTGGATTTTCAAAATCAAAGAAGATGGGACTAGAAAGGCCAGACTAGTAGCAAAGGGTTTCCAAGTACCCTATGATGGAGAGGAATTTGACTATGCACCAGTATGCAGAATAACAACAATAAGACTTCTGTTGTCTATCACAGTACAGAAAAATTGGACAATCAAACAAATTGATGTACCTACAGCCTTCCTAAATGGCACATTAGATACTGAAGTATATATCAAGAAGCCGGAAGGCCTGGATAGTAAAAATATATATTTTAAATTAAATAGAGCCTTGTATGGACTGAAAAATTCACCAAAATGCTGGAATATGAAGTTCAATGAAATAATGTACAAATTGAACTTCAGACGATCTGACTATGACTACTGTCTATATTTCAAAGAAAATGTCTATCTGGTGTTGTACGTGGATGATGGACTTATAGTGGGTACCGAAGATCAGGTGGATTCATTGATTAATAGTCTCTACAATGAATTCAAGGTAAAAAGTATACAAAAGGTGAAGTCTTTCCTTGGAATGGAAATTGAAAACACAAATGAAGCTTTGAAGGTACACCAAATGCGAATGATTGACAAATTGTTAAAAGAATTCAATATGGAGAACACAAAATCAATCACCACACCCATGGAAGTTGGTTTCAGCGTTCAGTAAGATGAAGAAATTTTGTTGAATATTCCTTACCGAAGATTAGTTTGTACCTTGATGTACATATCCATTATGACAAGACCTGATATTGCTCAAAGTGTGACAGTTTTGAGTAGATATCTAGACAAACCTACTGCAAGCACTTGGAATGCAGCAAAAAGAATATTGCGTTATCTCAATATGACTAAAGACTATGTCCTGATTTTTAATCGAGGAGACACTGGACTCATTGCTATGTGTGATGCTGACTGGGCTGGGGATAAACAGACCAGAAAAAGCGTAAGTGGATTCATAGCTTTTCATAACAACAATCCGATTGCCTGTTTTTCACGATTATATAAAGGATCCATTAGTTATTGGATATTGGGGTGGTGAAATGATGAATGTGTAACTTTCTCAAAAACTCTTGCCAGTTGTTACTGCGGAATTGTGGACCGTTATCTGTAATGACCGATTCGGGGAAACCCCAACGAGTAGAAGGACTATGCCGTTTGTGCTTCAAAGCCGCCATCAACACTCCCTAGGTGGCGCTGTAGATGTGGCGATAGTTTTAACTTCTTGATGTTTGTATTTATAATATGTATTATTCGTATGGTGACGTCATTTTTACGCCAATTTATATTCCGAATTAAATAAAAAAAGCTGTGAGCTGTGCGAACGGGGAATCGAACCCCGGCCGACGGACTGTGAGTCCGAAGCGCTACCATTGCGCCACATCCACAAGTAAATGTTTGTGTTTAAGTTGGGGATATAACATGCCGGCCGGCCAGCGCGCGGGTCGCCTTCACTGGCAGACGTCGGATACTTGGTGCGCGGCACACCGCATCGTTGCCAGACGTTCAAGTATTTGGGTGTTACTCCGTAATACGGACGTGGGCCATTTGAAGGTGTGTGATGTGAAATATTCAACTGATATCTTATGATAAATAACGTATTGTCGTTTTGACGTGCATAATCGAGAGTAAGAAGAAAAAATACAACAATTTTCATTAGAGTGAATATGCTATTTTTATTGAATAATAAAGAAACATCATTTGGGTATCATATTATCGAACCATTTGTATAAAATATCAACGTTGCGAAGACTACAATTGTAGGATTCCCGACGGAGGTGGTGCATACAGGATGTGATGGTGTGGTTGTGATCGAAAGTTGGTACATCGTACCAGGAATCGTCGAATCGCTCCAAGTTCACAACTCTTGCATGTACATTGAATGTTGCTAGTTTATCGTCCAGAAAGTCCTTCTTTTGATGTCCTCGCACATAAATGATGTCGATGTCGCTCAGTTTCTCCCGAAGAATATCATCCAGTAGATTGTATGCCACGAAGCCGGAAGAATATCTAAGCCCATGAATGTTTTTCTCCAAGAAACATACACCACATCGGTCTTCTTTACTGAGAGATGAAAAGGATTTGTATGGAAGCAGCAGATAGTTACTACATTGCACTCCGATTTTTATGGCAATCTCCTTGGGACGGAATTCATGATCGATAATGAACCCCTGGATGTCTATAAAAGCTACTCTCATGATGCTGGTCGAACTCAAACTGAGTGGGAAACTGAGAATCAATTCCACTTTTTGATAATTTCACTGAGTGGGAGGTGCTCAATGATGTTATCGTGAACGATGATACAATAGGCTCGAGTGTTGGCGGGAAATCCTTGGGATGCCTCAATCTCAAGTTTGACATCGACAGTGGAACTTTTGACACTTTCATCTCGTCGCGAACAATCGATAACGAAAAGAGGTTGTTTATTGGCAAACTCTGGGTAACCCAGGAGTGGAGTGTGTAGCGAGGTGTTTTTATAGCTGTATCCAAATTGCGTATAGTTGAAGTACGCCTGTGGAAAGGCTCCTTTATCGAAGGCCAACTGCATCTTTTCCTTTGGATAACTTTCCCCATTGAGAGTTAATGTGATATTCGTTATGTTTGCGTGATTGAATATCGTAGGATCAGTATTGACTTTAGTCAGATCGTGACCTGTTTGAAAGCAAACAATGACATATCGAGGGCTTTCGAGAAACGAAGAAGTTTTGACCGCCCATATTTCATTGGTGGCGCCTGTCGTGAGAGAAGGCAACATATGTAATTCCCATTTTCTGAAGGGTATTAGGATGGGGGTGTCGGCTTTGATTGCCTTCAAGAGTTGTAGTTTGATTTGATCGTTTGGAAATAATCTTTTCACTTTGAGTTCCACATTTTCGATTTCCAGTTGTACTTTTGTGGGCACAACAGCTGCGCCGACAGCAGTTTCGGTGATTCTGAAGCAGTTATTATCGTTTCCAGCTCGCACCAAACGAATAGAATGTTTACCATAGGAGACGCACTCATAATCGTTGAAAATATTCAGCAGATGCTTCAATGGAATAAACATACTGAATGCTAAACTTGTCGCATTTATGACATCAACGTTATTGGGGTAGGTCCAACCTGCTATAGCCAATTGTTTCGTATCTTTAGCACTGTAGCACAAATAACCTCTAACGGTGCTAACAGTTCCAACATAGCGCACTGCTTCCAATTCCTTGCCATTCTGATC